TTTTAGAGATGGAGTCTCAAGAACTGTTTGCATGGGTTGGCCTTGAACCACTATCCTCCTAATCTCAGCCTCCCAAGTAGCAAAGATTACAGGCATAAGTCACTGGTGGTACTGGGGTTTGAACTAAGGGCCTCACACTGGTAGGCAGGCTTTCTTACTACTTGAGCCACTCCACCAGCAATTTTTTTTTTTTTTTCAGTACTGGGGTTTGAACTCAGGGCCTACACTGAGCCATTTTTTTGTGATGAGTTTTTTCAAGATAGGGTCTTACAAACTATTTCCCCAGTCTGGCTTCGAACTGCCATCCTCCTGGATCTTTGCCTCCTGAGTAGCTAGAACTACAGGCATGAACCATTGGCACCCAGCCCACCAGCCCTTTTTTTCCTGTGTTATGATGGTTTTTTTCAAGATAGAGTCTAGCAAATTATTTGCCTGGGGGAGGGGAGGGGGTTGGCTTCAAATGGTGATCCTCCTGATTTCTGCCTCCAGAGTTGCTAGGATTATAGGTATGAGCCACCAGTGCCTGGCCCAGCCTTGAAACCTTTTCTGATTTCTCTGAAGGATACTTATCCTGGTTTCTCTCCTGCTGCTTCAATTAGTCTGTCTTCTTCACTAATTGTCTTCCATATTCATTCTATTTATTTATTATTTAGTTGTGCTAGGGATTGAACCTGGGGCCTTGAGCATACTAGGCTAGTGCTCAACCACCCAACTACATTTCTAGTCCTACAAATTATTTTTTGAGCTCCTGCTGTGTCTGATACAGTTATAGGTAGAGATACAGCAGTGAACAGACTACTAAGCCCCTCAGGTGACACCCCAAAACTCATTTTCTACCCCTTTCCCCTTCCTTATATCTCTCTTCCCATGTAGCTCTGACTTCCCGTTTGTCTCCCATTTCTAGTTCTGGGTCAAATATTTCTGCTTGCATATGCTTTATCACCATGCCGGGATTCATTGTTCCTCCTGTCTCCCCACCAGTGTCAACCTCTCTTGCTTTGATGGGTCCCTTTCTTAGTATTCTTCTCAGCCTGTTAGAAACTCCTGCCTTGAGAGGGTTTTCTAACAGCTGTTCCTGACTTTTCTCTTTCCACGGTGCAAATTTGCTTCCCAAATTTACAAATGATCGCCAGCTTTGCACCATAAAGGGCATAAGGAGGGGTGAAAAAGTTTGAGGACTATCTTCCAGAGAGTATTTAAGCCATTTTACCCATTTCAAGAATTCTTTCCAGGCTGACTTGGTGTTTGTGGGTTCAAGTTTATTATCCACTTGCCCTCTCATTGTTTCCAGAAGGTATTGTACCCATTTCTGGGTCTTCAGTAGCTATCCCTTCCCCCTCTCCGCTAGGTTAACACTTCATACACATTGTGTTCCCTGACTTTTCTCTTAGCCCAGATATTCTAGCCAACTCCTACATCCAGAACACAGGCCTTTTGGCTTTTTTGTAATGGAGCTTACGAACTGCTCTGCTTTACATATATGCTCTCATTTTATTTCAAGCCCAGGAGGTGTGTACTTTTAACATACTTTATAGAGAGGTTAAGTAATTTGCCCAAGGCCACAAGTGGCAGAACGCAAACACGAAAGCAGGCCTAATTCTAGAATTCGGGTTCCTCTGCGAGTGCCTGGTTACTCCCATAGTTGATGTGCATGGCAGTCTCACCTCTAGGCACTCTCAGAACCAGGCCAGCACCTCAGGAAGATGTCCTGTGGGCAGCTTCAACAAACAATTTATTGTGGTTAGTTCCCCTCACCCCCAGGAATTTCTCTTTGCTGGTAGTGATCCTCTTAAGGTGCCTGGAGTTTGAATTGCCCACTTTGGCACTGTCTACTGTCTTACTGTTGTTTCTAGTGTTGCCTTTTCCTGAAAAGAATTTCTCTTCTCTCCTCAGGTCCAGCCTGGTCCCATTAGCTCATGTGCATATGAAGCTACCAGGCCTTCACGTTTTCCTCATCCACTGAAGACAATCAGTGGCAAAGACCCTCTTAGAATTCTTAAAAAATGCAGTTTTCTGGTTGGTTTTGGAGTGGGACTCAAGAAACTGCATTGTAACACCCTGCTCATCCTTAGGCCGTGGCCAGTGGACCAGTTTACATTTCTGTGAGGACTGTCCCAATTCGGCAGGATTATTTCCTGTTGTAATTCTCTAAACCTTGTACACAGCTGAAAAACTAGAAACTGGGCTTTTGTTTCTGGATACATTTGACAGGTGTAATAACATCCTCTGACAGGCTCCTTGCCACAGGTGCATGCTTGCCACGTGCGATCCTGTTGGTACCATCCCCCCACTCTCCCTCCTGCTGTCCAACCAAGACCCCTCTGTCTCCACCACCCTGCAGCTGTTGCCCTCCCCCAACCTTGCCCCTCCTTTCCCTTCCTCCCCCCTCCTCTACCTCAGAATATTTTATTGTTCCTGGCTAAGTTTTTCCTGCAGGATGGGAGTGACGGGCTGGTTAGACGGAAAGGATGCCCTCCATTCACCTGGTCCTACAGAATGGGCACTTTTTCCACCTGAGAAGACCTGTTTCTACCAGAGAAATGGGCAGAGGCCTTTCTCTGGAACTCGAGTGGAGCGCTGTCACTCCGGGGAAGGGAAGAGACCCTTGGTCTCTGTAAATAAACATCCCAAAGCAGGCCCAACCTGCTGTTCCTTTGTTGGGGCAGAGGGAATGGAACCTTACTATAAGGTGAGAAGAGTTGAAAGAACACCCAGGTCGGGCCCACCCTCCTGTCGCTAGCCATCACCTAACACTAAAGGGGAGAGGAAAAAAAGCACCAACAAAGAGTTTTAGATAGCAATTCCCAGCTTTTTCAAATATGAAGCATTTTTTAACCAATCCATTTTTTAATTCTTAAATTCTTGACATTACAGAACTAAACTGAAATTTATTAACATTCCACTCTTACATTTCTTATCGACAAACAGAAATAAAATCCATGAGCCAAAAACCCAAACAAAACTAAAAACAGGGAAAAGCTTATAAAACTAAATATGGATCCCAGCATTAACAGCTGAACAGAGAATGTGATTTTTAAATTCTTAGCGGATGATAAAGTGTAGAAACTGAACACTTACAAATTATTTAAAACCTGGAATCACTGACCAGAAATTACACAGTTGGATCATGGGAAAACAGCAGAGGGGGGGTTATGAGTGAACCTACACTGTTCTAGCTGCACCCCATGCCCTTCTCAGAGGAAAGCCTGGCATTGATTAGATACTGGGCCAGACTAATGCTGGCAGCCGAGCCAGTGATAGTAACCTGCCTACCAGAGGAGCCTTCCACTGGGTTGGCAATTTTGATCTGGGCCCCGGACATCTGGCGGATCTCATTGATGTTGGCGCCCTGGCGCCCGATTATGCAGCCAATTAAGTTATTTGGAATGGTGAGTTCATGGGTGGTTTGAGTAGATGCATCCAAACTCGCCCAATAGCCTTTCACCTCTGGAGAGCTGGAGTCAATTCCGGCGAATCCGGTCCCGCCGTGCATCATGGCAAAGTGAGACTGTTGTCTTGCCACCTGGTTCAGCTTGGCCAGATCGAGCGGAGAAATGGTGTGTTGTCCTTGAATCGAGTAGGCATCTAGCGGGGGTCCCTCCAGGTCGTGGGTGGCGTGCGGGTAGCCCGCGGCGTCGCTGCAGCGGTCTTGGCCGCCCGCGCAGATGACCGGCGAGCTGGCCGGCATGGGCTGGTAGGGGATGGTCATGACTCTCCCCTGCGGAGACTGGGACAGCGTCTCCAGCATGACCAGGCAGATCTGCTTGACACACTCGGTCACCGACTGCGGCACGCCCGCGATGGTGATGGCCCGCTCGGTGGAGTTGGGCAGCATATCCCCCGCCACCTGGACCTGGGCCCCCGTACTCTCGCGGATCTCTTTGATCTTACAGCCGCCTTTCCCGATCAGGGAGCCGCACTGGGTGGCCGGCACCACCAGCCGCAGGGTGACCGGGGGCCGGCTGGCCGCCGTGCTGTTGGTCATGGAACTGTTGATGTCTTCCTCCAGCTTGTCGATGATCATGGCGAAGGCCTTAAAGATGGCATTGGTGGGGCCGGTCAGAGTGATGATTCTCTCCGGGCAATTCCCCTCCGAGATGTTGATCCGCGCGCCACTCTCCTCGCGGATCCTCTTAACCGACTCCCCTTTCTTCCCAATGATGCTTCCTACTTCCTTTCCGTGCATAAGAAGCCGAATGGTGAGAGTCACATTTAGTCCACTTTCAGTCACACCGGCATCCATGGCGAGCGGCGGGCGGCGTTCGGGGGAGTTGGGCTCGTTACGTGGTCAAGTCTTTGGTGGCTGGCGGGGGGAGGGGAGGTGTAGGCCCAAAACTGCCGGCGCGAGGCGAGCGAGGGCCGCGGGAGCGAGCGGGAGCAGGCGGGAGGCCGCGTCGTCGTCGCAGGGGTGGGCGGCGGCGGCGGAGGGGGGCGAGCGGGGCCGGGAGCGGCGGGCGGGCGGGTGGGCGAGGGCGCGGCGGTGGCGACTCCGGCGGCAGCCTCGGCGGTCTGGGCGGGGCGGGAAGCCCGCTTTCAACCCCGAGTACCCTCTGACCCCGGAAGTGCTTGCTGCGCAGGACCCCTTGAAAAAAAATGAGGACCCGTCTTTTTTAGGTCCCAAGGTTGCGCCAACCCCCATGCGTAACTTTAAAAAAAAATCATTTTAACATCGCAGTAGTAAAGATAATGCACAGGATGGGCTGACGCTGTTAGTCCGGCAGAATTTTAAAGTGGGCATGTATTTTATTAACTCTAATGGTACTGGCGGATGACTGAAAATATTAGCGTTTTGTATGGGAGTCACATATCATTTTCGTGTTTTGCCAATAGGGTTTGCACGCGGAGCGATACGGGCAGTCTGGGTGGCCACTGCAGGCGGTAGCACGGGCGCCGCGGTTTTAAAACGTGTGCGTGAGGTAGCCAGCGCGCATGCGTGAAAGTGTGGGGGAAACGGGAGGGGCAGCCTCCGTCTTCCGGGGGGGAGGGGTGGTGAGGCGCGGCCTGACCGGCGGGTGCGCGCGCCGCCAGGCACGTGGGGCCCTTTCGTCCCCGGCGTCCGGGCGCCCCGCGCCACCCCCAACCCTTGTCCGGGCTGGTGAGCAGAAAGAACGAAATCTATTTCCCGCTGCCGCTGCCCGAGTACTGTCTTTGGTGTTTTTGTGAAGCATTAGAATCACAGCCATAAAAAGAATGGCGTCCATTTACATAATGCTTTGTTTGCATTTTGCTGGTCTTCGGTTAAACCTGCGGAAAGCCCATGTGCCCTTGTGGCGTTTCTACGGGGAGCAGTTTCGCCACACTGAAACAATAGTGTGCTTCTGTGGAGGACTCATTCATTCAGGGGTGCCGACTGTAGAATTTTGGAGGGGTGGTCCTGCAGCTTTTCCCGCGCGGGCTGCGCTCGCTCCCGCCGCAGCCTTTCTGTCCCGCTCTGTCGTGCGCCCACGCACCCCGCACTCCGGGGGCGGCCGTCGCCGCGGCCGCCATCTTGGAAGGCCTTTCTTGGCGAGCTCCTTCCGCTAGGAAAGGTCGCTCGATCCTGTGGCGGAGGAGTTGGCGTCTGCCCCTTCCTCCGTGGGCGAAGCCAAACCAGAGAGGACCGTGTGAATAACGTGCTTAAGAACACATCTGAGAAAGCGGCTAACGTGGCGCTCTTGGGCTCCTGCGGCTTTCTGCCCCACAGGGGTGGCCGCCATGTTTTCTTAACACAAAATGGCGACACGCCGCCCACGCGCTTTTGGGGTCGGCCTGAAAGCTCTAGAACGCGCCCCCTCCCGTTCCGCACCACGAGTCTTGGGAACCCCGCCCCCCCCAGGCTGGTGTGAAGAGTGGGGGATGGTCAATGCCAACCCCACCATCGGAAGCGGGAATGTGAATAAACGCAGGCACAAATTTATTAGTGGATAATGGAGGAGCACTGCCCCTCACCCCCACTTCCCAAAGCATCAGAAACCACTGCTTTAAGGCAGGAGGTGGAAGTTACTGCTTTCCTAGACCCCCCAGCACAGGAAGACGCTTACGAAGCAGACGTCTGTGCAGATGTTAGGATGTCTGTGACTTTGTGCAGGCCAGCTGGCCACTGACCCCCAAGTATATCACAATTACAGTCTACTGTAGAGCTGAGAAGGCACAGATCCTATGCTGGGCATTTTCCTGCATACTATTTTTAATTTTTACTATTACCCCTGAGGTAGGTGTTTTGTTTCTTCTCTCACTTTTTTTTTTTTTTTTTTTTAAACAGAGGAAGACATTTAAACCTAGAGAGATGAAGTGACTGATTCAAGGTCACACAGTGTTCGGGATGGAATCCAGACCTGAGTTTCTTACTGGTGAGCATATTTTCCAGGTTTTTTTTTTTTTTTTTTTTCCTATCTTTTTTTTTTTTTTTGGTGGGACTGGGCTTTGAACTCGGGGCTTCGAGCTTGCAAAGCGGGTGCTCTACCACTTGAGCCACACCTCCAGTCCAAGCACTCTGAGCTACATACCAGCCAGCCATCTGTTTTTGAGACAAGGTTTTGCTACGTAGTTCAAGCTGGCTAGGCAGGGTTTTAGACTAAATGGTATTTTCAAAGCATTGCATGAGCTTCTTATTTAAAGAAACCCCTCAAGTAACCGTTGGTTGTACTGCTTGGGGACTTCCAGTTTTTCCTGAAGTGAGTGACACCTGTATGGGTTCAAATATTATTTTATGAGGTGTCTGGGTGATGATACGGAGGCGGAAGTGATTCAGTGCTGCCCAAAGGCACAGGTATCTGTCATTCAGGCCTTGTCTGTGACACATTTGAGTCTACCTGGCATGGGGCAGTGAACAGTTCTCTATATGACTCACTTACCTTCCCTTAGCTGCTCATGTGTGTGGCTCCTGTTTTCTCCACCCCAGTGCCCCAACCAGATAAAAATAATATATTTTACTGGGCACCAAGCCTCCAGTTCTCTGCAAATATTGACAGAGCATGATGGAATGTAAGATAAGCCATAATCTGTGGAGTCTTCAATTCAGTGTAACATAGCTAGTGGGCCAAGCAACAAATTGTGTATAACTAGGGCTCTGCTTGCATTGGTGTCAGAGATGGAGAAAAGGGCTTTTTGCTTATGATTTACATTAATATCATGTATCAAATTTTCCAAAGGGCTTTGACATTATTTAACCCTGCAAAGAACTTTAATACAGAGGTACACTAAAACAACGATGACAATAATAGCACTAAGTGCTTAGTATGTTCTAAGCATATGTTCTAGGCACTATTGTAAGCATTCTTCTACCCCCTCCCCTCCCATGTTTCCCCAGTCACAGTACAGACCGGGCACAGGGCCTGGGCTGAGGTGTAAATGGTAGGTTTACTTTGCCTCTTCCTTCTATACAGTCAGTGTGAGAACACAGCCTGTGGTAAGCATCAGGAGGCCTCTAAGCATTATTCTATGCTTTAGATCAGCAACTCAACATTTGTAGAAGCAGACCATTGTAAGAAATAAATTTTATATCATGAGTTAGACATACATGTAATGTGTATGCACACACATATATAACAAAACTTTTGCAAAACAGCAGTTACTACTATTTGCAACTCTGGAAATTTCTATTAACTACTTTATATTAAAAGAAAAAGGGAACCATTATAACTAAAATGAATAGAAACCCATAAGTACATTGAGATAGTATACATATTTAGTCCTCACCCAACCTCCTAAAATGGGTGGTGATACTATTTCCATTTTATAGATGTACAGAGGTGAAGGAATTTGTTGAAAGTCTACACATGAAGTGGTAAAGTAAGGATTTGAGTCTAGATAAGCTGAGTCCACAGACTATTCTTGACCACTAAGCTACTAGAGGTCTCTGCAGAGGGCCTTGTCTTTGGAGACAGAGTAGATTAGGAATTAAACATATTCTGGGCAGTGGTGGCTCATGCCTGTAATGCTGGCTACTCAGGAGGCAGAGATCAGAAGAATAGAGGTTCGAGGCCAGTCCTGACAGGAAGTGAGAATCTATCTCAAAAATACCCAACAGGCATGAAAAAGGGCTGATGGAGTGGGTCAAGTGGTAGAGAGTGCTTGCTTATAAGCAAGCATGAGGCCCTGAGTTCAAACCCCAGTAACACACGCACACACAAAAGTTAACAACATAAAAAACATATAAAGCATATATAAACGTGTGCGTAATTATTAAAAAGTCAGGTGATAAAGGGATGAAATTGGATATAATCAAGGAGTATCCTGATTCAAAGAATTGTGCCCCTCTAAATCTACTTTTTTTTTCTGATTCAAAGAATTGTGCCCCTCTAAATCTACTTTTTTTTTTTGGCAGCACTGGGGTTTGAACTCAGCCTTACACTTGTTAAGCAGGCTCTCTTATTGCTTAAGTCACTCTACCAGCTTTAGATCTATTTTTTAAACATCTTCCATAAAGAAAAATTTCCTCAACAGGTCTTTTTTCTCCCTAAGACTATGTATTTTAAGTAATTTTTGCCTGAAATATTTCCTTGATTTCCTTGTCTGAATGCCTCTAGGACTCAGTATTCCTCCTCAGAATTCCCTTTCCCAGTTCCTCCACCTCTTAACCTCTTTCCGTCCACCAGAATTCTACATCCCTCCCTTCAGAGGTCCACATTTTGTCTTTTTTATTGTTGTTTAATTTGGTGGCACCGGGGTTTGAACTCAGGGCCTCCTGCTTGCTAGGCAGGTGCTCTTACTGCTTGGGTCACTCTGCCAGTCCAGAGACCCACATTTTTATTGATTAAATCGTACAATGATAGGGCTTTTTGATGGGACTGGGGTTTGAACTTAGTGCTTCTCATTTGCAAAGTTGGTGCTCTACCACTGAACCACACTTCTAGTTTATTTTGCACCTTTATTATTATTATTATTATTATTTTTTTTTTTTTTGGTGAAACTGGGGTTTGAACTCAGCACTTCACACTTGGAAAGCAGGCACTCTTCTGCTTGAACCAAGCTTCCAGTCCCATTTTTGCTCTGGTTATTTTGGAGATGAGGTCATGTAGAACTAGTTGCCTGTGCTGGCCTTGAACTTTGATCCTCCTGATCTCAGCCTCCCAAGTAGTTAGGATTACAGATGTGTGCCATTGGTGCCTGGCTTGCTCTGGTTATTTTGGAGATGGGGGGGTCCTTGAAGTATTTGTCCCAGCTGGCCTTGAACCTTGATCCTCCCAATCTCAGTCTTCCAAGTAGCTAGGATTACAAATGTGAACCCCCTGTGCATGGCCGGTGACATGTCTTAATGTTGATAATTGGCCTTTTGCCCCACAGGTGCCTTGGGTGATGCTGTGATCAGGTCAAGAGGAATCTGGACTTTGGAACTGAGACTCTGGGCCCTACCCCCAGCTCTGGGACTGACTAGTTCTGAGACTTCTATAATCCATCTGTCATGTATCTGGGCCTCAGTTTTCCCATCGGTAAAACAAGTCTAAACGAACTCCAAGCCCTTTTCTAAATCTATCTAGGGAGTGATGCTATTTGATAATCTTGGTTATTTATCTTCTGGTGGAGCAGAGGGTTATGTAAGTATTTTACTTACTTTTGGCAAATTCTGTACTCTCTTCCTCAGACCTATGCTATCTTGTGAATTCCACACCACCCACTTTATGGATGAAGCCACTGAGATATGAAACAACAGACTAAATAGTCACTGCCCTACCCTTGGAGCCTCACACATGACTCTTCTCTCATTCAAGTGACCACAGGTTGGTTAAGGGGTTTACCAAGGCTGGGATAGTGAATCAGCTATAGACTTTGGAAGTTGAGCCAAAGGATTTATACTCCATTTAGAGGGATGATTTTTGCTGCTTCTTTTTTTGTTTCTGAACTCAGCACTTCATGCTTACAAAGCAGTCACTCTGAGCACTTGAGCTACATCTCCAATCCATTTTGTTCTGGTAATTTTGGAGATGAGGTCTCAAACTACTTACCTGAGCTGTCTTTGAACTACAGTCCTTCAAGTCATCCTCCCAAGTAGCTAGGATTACAGGTGGAAACTACTAGTATGCAACTGCTTTCTTTTTTACCTTGGTATGTTATGTAAAACTTTCAAAGTGATTTTACATTATTTGTTTAATGATCTTAGATAACTTTGCCACTAAGTTATGTCCACTTTACAGATGAACCATATTTGGATGAGAAGAAAGAAGTGACTTGCCTTACAGCTTGTTAGGACCTGAGCTAGGCTTCTTGATTCCTAGTTGTGTTTTTTTTTTTTTTTCCTTTTGATTGAGAGGTTAGAGTATTTCTTTTTTCCAGTGGTGGGGATTGAACCCAGGGCCTTATGAATGCTAGACAAGTGCTCTACCACTGAGCTACATCCCCAGCCCTAGTTGTGGATTGTTCCTTTCCTTGGTTTCTGATGCCTGTGGTGTGGACTTTGTTATGTGAGATAACTTTACCTTAAAAGTCCTTCCAGCCAGTCTTTGTTTTTCTGTCCCACAACATCTATTCCATACTTACTATTTATTTATTTTTGGCAGCACTGGGGTTTGAACTCAGGGCCTTGGGCTGTGCTAGGCCGGTGCTGTAGCACTTGAGCCACAGTTTCAGTGAGAACATCTGTTCAGTTATCTTAGGTTCTTGACTTTCTTGGATTAAAAGAATCTCTTCCCTCTCATTCTCTAATGTTTACATTTATGATGTAATGTTTACATTAGATGTTCTCTAGTGTCTGGGAAATGGTGGGGATGATTTCTGACTCTTACATTCCCAGGGAGTAGGAAATTTAGGAATAGGGATCACACTTGTTTTCTTTACCCTACCTAGTCCAGATATAGCTATTTAAATTTGCCTTACTGGACTAGAGGTGTGGCTCAAGGGGTAGAGTGCCTGTTTTGAAGCCCTGTGTTCAAACCCCAGTCCCATGAAGGTGCTGTTGGCTCACAGCTGTAATCCTGTCTACTCAGGAAGTAGCGATCAGGAGGATTGCAATTTGAGGCCAATCCAGGCAAAGAGGTTGATTTTGGGTGGCATGCTGTTTCATTTTGTTACGTTTGGTGTCGAGGGTCCTGGCCTTCAGAGGCCAGTGAACTGGCTCGTGAGGCAACTGAATGATGAGCCAAAGCGGGTATATAAAGTAGGATTTATTAGAGAGAAAGGAAAGGCTACAGCTAAGGTACTTCAGTGGAGCCCGGAAGCTGGTGGCTCGCTGCACAGGTGAAGGCTGGGGTTTTTATGGACGTTCTAACTCTGGGTTAGGTGAGTTTTTCTCATTGGCCATAGATTCACCGGCTTTCTCAGGGGAACTGGTTTGGTTTGCACCTTTATTGGGGGAAGGGAACAATCTTGAGAGCATTTTGCTCATTAGCCCTGTGGCAGATCTGTATCTCTCCTTTAGGATGCAGGAATGCAGTGCCCTCCATGGGGGATGGGATACTCACTCATCTGCCTTAGGTCTCCAGATCCAACAATTTTTTTATTCTCTTTTTCTGTCATAAGATAGGGGAAATTTGTTTTTGCTATCAACCAGAGATGAGCTTGGATGCAGTAATTTTAATATTAGCCAGAGTTCAGTTGGTTTATCAAGGGAAATGTGTTACAAAAATCACAGAAGGTATTCTAGGTCATATTCCATTTTATTTATTCATTCTTTCAACAAATAATTATTGATTTCTTGATACATCCTCAACAAGAAAAATATACAAAGAATGAGATCTTGTCCTTGCCCTCCAAGATGTTTATGGTTTAGAGAGGGATACAATAAAGTAACAAAAGACAGTGTGTTTAATATTAGGGTATGAGTTAGCAGAGGATGCAATGGGACTCCAATGGCAGGATCTTAATTTAACTGTGGAAGGAATCTAAAAGCTGTCTAAATAAGATGACACCCAGAGTCCCAGATGTAAGATGGAGGACAGTGAAGGGAAGGGTAGTCCAGGCAGAAGTAATAAAGTACAATCCATTCAGAAGTCAAAGCCATTTCAGGAAGGTATGAAGAATGTTTGCATTATCTAATTATTAGTGGTTACTTTTCTGCTGTTTCAGTAGTGTGAATTATTGAGACTTGACTGCCCTTGCCAGAGCACAGAAATTTAAAGTCCTTATTTTGGAGTAGTGTCTCCTTTATAATGAAGACATCAGAAATTGTACTTTGTATCTAGAGATTCTAAGGAGAAAAATGTAAATGAAGCACACAGCCTTTTAATTAGCAAATGATTGATAACCCAATGTCTAGTAAACAAAGAAGGTACAGCAGGACACAGGAATGCCACGCATGTGGTTCTAGTCACTTGGGAGACTCAGGCAGGAGGATTGCTTGAGACTAGGAGTTTGAGACCAGTCTGGGCAACATAGTGAGACCCTGTCTCAAAAAAAAAAAGAAAAAAAAGGTGCAATGCACAGTTAATCCTAGCTGTCATTCAGTTTTTGGATCTGAGATCTGATTGTGTTCTGTTTTTTTTTGAGACATAGTTTCACTAGTCCTCTCTGGCCTTCTGAGTGGTGGAATTACAGGTGTTCACCACCATGCCTGGCTTCAGCTTCGTTTTGGAGGAGGAGAAGGTGGAGTGTGTGTGTGTGTGTGTGTGTGTGTGTGTGTGTGTGTGTCTTTATTTAGCAGTCTAAGTTCGGAGGGAAAGGAGTTCAGAACAAAAAAAATACGTTTAGCTCATTTCTAATCCCACCTACTGAGCACAAGCAAGGCAAAGGACTTTGTTTTAGACAGTTACTTAAACCACACAAAGCATTTATTCAGCATTACTCACTATATAAGATCTATCATGTCCAGATTAAGAGCATTGATTTTTATTTTTGTTTTTTCGAGATGGGAATATGATTGCATTAAACAGAAACCTAATGTGTATTCATTGGACAATGTTGGGATTTTACCTGGATTAAAAGAGAAAAAAAGTTACATGTGGAGTAGGAAAGAAAAGCTTAGAAAACACCATATAAATTCATTTCTCAGCCATCTTCTTTTCTTTTTTCTTTTTTTTTTTTTTTTGTGGTATGGGGTTTGAATTCAGGGCTTCACACTTGCAAAACAGGTGCTCTACTGCTGGAGCAACACCTCCAGTCTATTTTGCTCTGGTTATTTTACTTTTTAAAATAATTTTATTTTTTTATTAACTTTTTTTCTTTTTTTGGTGGTAGTGGGGTTTGAACTCAGGGCTTCACACTTACTAGGCAGGCACTTTACCATTTGAGCCATTCCACCAGCCCTTCTCTGGTTATTTTGGAGATGGGGTCTTGGAAACTATTTAGGCTGGCCTCAAATCTCAATCTCATTCCTCTTGTTTTTTTTTTTTGTGGGGGTGGTACAGGATTTCGAACTCAGGGCCTCACACTTACTAGGGAGGCACTCTTCCTGCTTGAGCCACTCCCCAATCCATAAATCTCAATCTTGTTCTCAGCCTTCCAAGTAGGCATGAGCCACTGGCACATTTGTAGTATTTGACAATCCCTCCTTGTACTGTAGCTTCATTTGGCTTCCACTATGATGTTACTACTCCCTTGACTCTCCTCCTCTTTCTTACCCTTTTTTTTTTTTTTTTTTTTAAATCTGATTCACACTGATCTCATCAGCTTCCAGTGATGGGAGCACTCAAAGCAGCCCTTGAATCTGTTCTGTATGTGCTCATTTCCTAAGTGCTCTCTTTCAATACTTTATACATGATATGTACCACCACATCTCTTTTCTTTTCCTTTCTCTTTTCTCCTTCCTTCCTTTATTTTTTCCTGTGTTCTTTTCTTTCTTGTCAGGGTCTTACTAAGTAGCCCAGGCTGGCCTTGAACTTGGAATTTTCCTGCCTCAGCCTCCAGAGTGCTGAGATTAGATTTACAGGTATGTGCCACTACATCCAACTACCTTAAAAGTTCTTGAGTTTGTATTACTAGCTTGAATATCTTCCTCTGAACTCAAGACTTTTGTTTTTCTTTTGGCTGGGGATCAAACCCAGGGCCTCACACATGGTAGGCAAGCACTCTATCACTGAATTTCATCCCCAGCCCAGGACATTTTTTTTCTTGTTTTGGTTGGACTAGGTTTGAACTCAGGGCTTTGTGCTTGCAAAGCAGGCCGCCTACCACTTGAGCCACACCTCCAGCAGGGCATTGTTTTGATCATTGCTCTATTCCTATTTCCTAGAACAGTGCCTAGAACATAAGAGTTGAATGAATATATTCAATTTTTGTTTATTTATTTATTTATTTTTATTCACTTATTCACATATGCATACATTGTTTGGGTCATTTCTCCCCCCTGCCATAAATTCAATTTTTAAACAAAAGTATATTGACTATATAGAGGTTTCTGTAACATATAATGAGGAGGATATCTGCATGAGTAATAATTGTTCCTGTCCTCAAGTTGCTTAGATCCCAAAAAGATGCTTGTTCTGACTTGAGCAACGTGCTCTTTAGCAGGTTAAACTGCTATATCATTCTGTACCTGGGGAGATGAGAACTGGTATATAATCAGAGATGAATGAAGTCTTGCTTTTTCAGGTTTATCGGTAATTTGCACTCTTTCTGGGAGGCCAGGATTAGTGATAGCTCACTGCATTGCTGGCTTTTTAGGTTACAGTTCCTGATTGGTCTTGCCTCATTAGAGCAGTTAAAGCCTTTTTAAGAGTTTGTTAAGGGCTGGTGGAGTGGCTCAAGTGATAAGAGTGTCTGCCTAGCAAAGCCTAGCAAGCATGAGGCCCTGAGTTCAAGCACCAGTCCTGCAATAAAAAAAAATTAAAAAAAAAAAAAAAAGAGTTTGTTAAAGCCCAGCACTGGTGGTCACACCTGTAATCCAGCTACTTGGGAGGCAAAGATCAGGAGAATCAAAGTTCGAAGCCAGCCCCGTCCCCTCCCCAAAAAGAAAAAACCAACAAAACAGACCTTATCTCAAAAAACCCCAACAGAAAAAAGGTCTGACAGAGTGGTGCTAGTGGTTGAATGTCTGCCTAGCAAGTGTGAGGCCCTGAGTTCAAACCCCAGTTACCCTGGGGGGTTCCCCCACCCAGAAAAAAAAAAGAGTTTCTTAAAAGTTTCATTGTTAGGGTCAAGGCCTTGAATTCAATCCCCAGCACTGGGGGAAAAAAAAAAAAAGATAAGTCTCATTTTCAGTCTTAATTCTCTCTGCCCCCCCCCCACCACCTTTGTTGTATTGCCCAGACTGTTCTCAAGCTCACAGACTCAAGTGATCCATAACCTCATCTTTCCTAGTAGCTAG